TTCCATCTTGACTTTCGATAGCACAAGCGCGAGCAATATCCCACCGCCACGATACGTCGACAAGATCGTCCAGGGCGAGTACAACGTGCTGCAAAGCAGCAACATGCTGTTGTTTATGTAGTACAACTGCAAGTCCTGTGGTCAGGTCGCCTCTTTATCTGCAGTCGAAGCCTTTGGAGAACGACGGGGCCAGGATGCCATTCTCTATCTGGGCAAGCGGATTTCTTCAGTACGTACGAGCAAATAAAAACTGAAAGCCAGCGATTGGACTGAGGTAGCTCGACACTCGCATAGTCGTTTCACTACTTAGGACACAACTGCTGAAACGACTAACGCATCGTCTCCGTCTTGCTGGCCATTCTTGCTTGGTTACAGTTCTCGAACGGCGGATCCACAAGCTTGTGCGCAAGTACTGCGACAGGATCAATCAACTTCATCCGGTTCTCCTTCAACGCCGTACCCTCTTTCCCTTTACATTAAGCTAGGTGGCGTATCCTTACGCGGCGTTGGGGAGCTGGCGCGTCCGGGTAGTGCTCATTAAGCCAAGCCAAAATATGTTCGTGCTTTTTACGCTGCGCTTCGAACGCAGCATCGCTAGTACAGCCCCCCATTCGCTGCGATCGCAAAAACAGCAGCACTTCGAAATGTCCACCTGACGCAGCCGCATCCATCGCTTTAGTAGTGCACCCTTCGCGACGATTATGGTGAAGCCACTGAACGATCTTTAGCAACCCAGCACACGCCGCGTTGTTCATCGCCTCAGTCGAGCACCCTTCCGTCCGGTTTAAATGCAACCACTGCAATACGTCAAAGGCGCCTGACCCTGCTGCGCCATCCATTGCTGCAGTAGTGCAACCTTCGCTGCGATGCTCATGAAGCCATTTCACAACATCCAGATGACCGTTTCTTGCCGCGCCATCCATAGCGGCGGCCGTACACCCCTCCACGCGATGTTCATGGAGCCACTGGACCATTTGTAAATGCCCATTAATCGCAGCGCCGTCCATGGCAGCGGTCGTGCAGCCCCCGGAACGATGCGCGTTGAGCCATTTGACAACTTCCAGGTGGTTTCCTGCCGCAGCGCCATCCATCGCGTCATGTGTATCTGTGGGCCGGCCTTCTTTGAACCCTTCGTTAGCCATACGCTCGTCTACCTGCTGTAGATACTCGAGTATCTCTAAATGGCCACCTTTTGCGGCAGCATCTATCGCGGTGCTAGGCTCATCGGCAAGCAGCGTTAACGAATATGGACGTAAGTCTCTGTACAAATACGATAGCGGCTCACACGCAAACGAATCGTTCAACCACTTGACGACGTCAAGAAAACCCCGTCCCGCCGCACGAAGCATCGTTCCGCATGAAACACTGGCAAGACCATTGAATCCCTGCTC